TATGCCCAATTACTTCAATAGGAGCAGTTTGATCCTAAAAGAGTAATGTCCTGGTTTCCAAGTGTTCAGAGGAGCTTGACTTTATTAGGATTATTAGCATGAGTGAGAACTACTTGCATGAGAAAGGAACTTTAGAATTGGGTCCTGGGAATTCAGAGTGAGTCAATACTTCAATTGGAGAGAAATGAGTGGGTACAGATTCAGAATATTATTGCCTAGCCAGCTTTATGCACAATATGTACACAGGTCCTGTTCACACTGTGAAGCTTCACTGTTGTTTTTTGCAGAAATAATTCCACAATCAACATTTCTGTTAAACAGAGTCTAGCCCCCGCCCTTCCGTCTACACACAAATGGTGCTAACCCAAGGCTCAAACCCAAGATCTCATGTTACCAGGGAGGAGGGTCTGAGCCTGAGACAATCCAGGCCCAAGGGTTCAGGTACTGTTTTCTGGTGTAGACGCAGCCCCGCAGGACTCATGCTCTGGGAGTCCAACAAGAGTATTCCACAATCTACCAGCTGACTTTTTTTGTCCTCTGGACAGTCAAGCTTGGTGAACAGCCAAGTTTTCCCACATTACACCACAAACAAAGGGCTAGAGTGGCCACATTTTGGGAGGTTGCCAGGAAATTTGCATTTAGTGTGTAGGTCCTGGGTGGCGTGAGAGCCTGTGATATCCTGGAGGTCAGATTAGATGATCCGGTGGTCCCTTCTTGCTTTAAACTCTATGACTCATATATATGACAGAGTTGTCAACAGGACAAACAAGAAAAGTTTAAGATATGGCTCACATAATGCTGTATGGATGCTAGAGCCCCAGGTTGGGGCCCAAGGTTCAACAATTCCTAACCTGGGATTACAAATAAGTGTAGATTTCCCAAACAACTGCAACTTTACTGATCCCCATGTATACCATGTGTTGCTATTGTTGAAGTTGAATACCATAAGAGCTGGTGTTCAGATCTGGCCACTACTAATACAGTACAATAGGGAGAATAATGGGCAGAAATGGAGGCAACAGGTACAGGATAATACAGGACAGAAAGGAGGACAGTTACACTGTCATACACAAAACCGTAAGTAATTGGCATCTTTGGCAGGACAAACCATGCACTGACCAACAGCTTCAACCACCCAGACTAACATGTAAGGGAACTACTGGTCATTAAAAAAAAAAATGGTTTGGCATTTCAGACATCAGCTTGTTATGCCAGTACGATTGTCTCTGGAATTCAAAATCCTGTTTTCTACGGAGTACTGTTCATTTATCTACATAGTTGGACATGTTTCTATTTATTCTCTTCCATCCCTGGCTTTCCTCACTTCAATTCACTGTTTCTCTGCCCATTCCCTGTGGCACCCTTCCATTCACTCACTATTAATCAGCAATACTTAAGCACTTCCTTAAAGCTTCTGCCTTGAACCATGTATAGTGGTAGTTTGACAGTAATAGCCATGACCTGCTGACCAAATATAACCTTTACTGAGCTCCATCTAACTTCACCCTGTACTGACTGGGCACCATGGAGTTTGTACACATTGCAAAGGACAATTGTCCATGCCACCTGGTGACTAATTAGCATCAGGAATGGAAATGGCTCCATGTCTAGTTGGCAGCAGAGTGTCCCAAGGGTCGGTACTGGGGCCGGTTTTGTTCAATATCTTCATTAATGATCTGGAGGATGGCGTGGATTGCACCCTCAGCAAGTTTGCAGATGACACTAAACTGGGAGGAGAGGTAGATACGCTGGAGGGTAGGGATAGGATACAGAGGGACCTAGACAAATTAGAGGATTGGGCCAAAAGAAATCTGATGAGGTTCAACAAGAACAAGTGCAGAGTCCTGCACTTAGGATGAAAGAATCCCATGCACTGCTACAGACTAGGGACCGAGTGGCTAGGCAGCAATTCTGCAGAAAAGGACCTAGGGGTTACGTGGACAAGAAGCTGGATATGAGTCAACAGTGTGCCCTTGTTGCCAAGAAGGCTAATGGCATTTTGGGCTGTATAGGTAGGGGCATTGCCAGCAGATCGAGGGACGTGATCATTCCCCTCTATTTGGTACTGGTGAGGCCTCATCTGGAATACTGTGTCCAATTTTGGGCCCCCACACTACAAGAAGGATGTGGTAAAATTGGAAAGAGTCCAGCAGAGGGCAACAAAAATGATTAGGGGTCTGAAGCACATGACTTATGAGGAGAGGCTGAGGGAACTGGGATTATTTAGTCTGCAGAAGAGAAGAATGAAGGGGTATTTGATAGCTTCCTTCAACTACCTGAAAGGGGGTTCCAAAGAGGATGGATCTAGACTGTTCTCAGTGGTAGCAGATGACAGAACAAGGAGTAATGGTCTCAAGTTGCAGTGGGGGAGGTTTAGGTTGGATATTAGGAAAAACTTTTTCACTCGGAGGGTGGTGAAGCACTGGAATGGGTTACCTAGGAAGGTGGTGGTGGAATCTCTTCCTTAGAGGTTTTTAAGGTCAGGCTTGATGAAGCCCTGGCTGGGATGATTTAGTTGGGAACTGGTCCTGCTTTGAGGAGGGGGTTGGACTAGATGATCTCCTGAGGTCCCTTACAACCTTGATATTCTATGATTCTATGAAATGGGATAAAAAAGCCAAAAAGAATATGAAGAGGATTTTATCCACCTTTCACTGAAACCCAAGTATCTGTTTTATTTTATACTATGGCAAAACCTGTAGGCATGACAAACTATAAAATATTATTCAATTTAACTGATTGTGTGTACATTGTGCTCCCAATATACTATATCTTTCTATATAACAAGCGTAGTTACTTTATTAGCTTGATCCTGTGGTCTTTGAGCAAGACAAATTCCCACTGACTTCAAAGGTGCTTTCCTTGACTAAGGATGTCACGAACAAACTAGGAAAAATGGACATTTCCACTAGCAAAGTCCAGTGAACAACAACAAAAATGATTAAACGTCTAGAAAACATGACCTATGAGAGAAGATTGAAAAAAAATGAGGTTTGTTTAGTCTGGAGAAGAGAAGACTGAGGTGGAATATAACAACAGTTTTTGAGTACATAAAAGGTTGTTACAAGGAGGGGGGAGAAAAACTATTCTTGTTAACCTCTGAGGATAGGACAAAAAGAAATGGGCTTAAATTGCAGCAAGGGTGTCTTAGATTGGGCATTAGGAAAACCACCCTGACAGGAAGCTTAAGTACTGTAATAAATTGCCTAGGAAGGTTTTTGAATCTCTGTCATTGGAGATTTTTAAGAGCAGGTTAAACAAACACCTGTCAGAGATGGTCTAGAGATAATACTTAGTCCTGCCTTGAGTGCAGGGGACTGGACTAGACCTCTCAAGATCCCTTCAAGTCCTATGCTTCTATGAAATTCACATCACCCGCATAAAACAGGAACAGCCAGGCTTTATCTAGGTGAAGTGCCAGGAGCCTCTTTGGGTAAAAAGGCACACACTTATTTTATGGACTAGAAAACAAGTTGATATCAGGTAGGGTGTTTTGTTTTTTATTTTAGTATACAAAAGGCAGGTCTGTTAGTGAAAGGTCAAGAGGAGACAAATTAGTCATTTTTTCATGATAGTTGCCAAGCAACCATGTTTATAAAAATCTAACATTTCATTAACTTCAAAAAGGGGAAGTTTGGTTTTGATAAAAATATCTAGAAATACCTAAAATTGGTGTATTCCTTAGTATCTACTTTGAATTTTTTTAAAAAATAGAGTTTTTATTACAGATTTGAAGAATGAAAATATCCACCTCCTTGAATCTGAACCAAGGTATTCTGTCATAACAGCCTTAGTCCATGTAAGATATAACAACTGACCCGTATCAACTTGTTTTCTAACAAAATTTGAATCGTTTTTTTATTAGGGTTTGAAGATGCCTCCTAACATGGAGAGACAGAATTCATCAAACTATTTTTTTCCAGATAAGGAACACTAATAGGTGAATCAGACATATTAAGATTGATAAAGGATAAGGAAAATAATGAAAAACAGAGTTGCATGTCTCACAATGGTACTATATATGATCATACGTACACTTAGGTTTTGTAGATCTTGTTCATATTAAAGCAAAATACTGCATGTAGCCTGTGGCCAAGTGTTGTATTTTACATCTGTATTTGCAATAAATCATTTCTCGGGGTGCTGGAACAATTTGTATAGGGAGGATGCGGAGAGCCATTGAACCAAAATGTAAACCCTGTATATGATAGAAACCACTTCAAGCCAGGGGGTGGGGCAGCACCTATGTTATTCCTTAAAGAGTAGGCAGATTTGGTAAGTATTATGTTCCCAGCCCAGTGCGGTGATTTCCCTGTAAATACACATTCATTTCTCGCTATGCTGAATTTCTTTCTAACCCATCAGAAGGAGTTGTTCCATTCTCCTGCCTCCCCTAGGTCTTCCCATAGCCTTTATGTTTCGCCCTGAACCACAGGGACGCCCAGGGAAGTATTCCCATGTGGCGGCTCTGTGTGTGTGTGACTGTCAGCACAGGTCGCACTGGCCGCTGCCCAGCGAGCCTTCGGGAGCCCTTCCCAGCGCTCCCATGGAAATGACAGGGACGCCTCTCAGGCCGGGCGGAGCAAAGTCACTCGCTCTCCCCTCGCCCTAGCAACGCACGGGACGCTTTCCCGCTCCGTTCACACACAAACCAGGGCGGCTGCCCACGCTGCTCGCCTCACTCACGCCCCAAGGGCTGCGGAACCCGGGGGGCTTCCCCCGGCTGTGGCCAATCTGGGGGCGTGCGCTCTGCGTGCGGGGGAATCCCTGCGCGTGAGGCGGCGGCGTCCCCTGCGTGTCGGGGAGAGCAGGGCCAGGCGTGTGAGGGTGCAGGTGCCGTGGAGGGGGAAAGAGGCATGGGGGAGGGGGCGCAAGGCGCGCGCCTGCAGCCCGTGGAATCGCGTGACGTTTCCCGGGTGGGTCACACACGAGCTCGCACCTGCTGTCGCCCCGGCACGCCCAACCCCTCCCCCCGCCTTCGCCCCCCCTCCCCGCCTCACCTCGAACAGGGGCCCGATCCTGTTCTTCTCCAGGTAGGCTTGGATCCTGGTTTGCTGATGCGCCGCCATCAGGAGCCGAGCTGCCGAGGCGGGGGCCCGGCTCACCCTCCCTCAGGCGCGGGGCTCTCAGGCGGCGGGAGTGGGAAGGGCCCCGCAGGGGGAGACGAAAGCCCAAGTCCCAGGGACGGAGCCAACTCAGGTAATGGGGACGCGCCGGGCGGGGCGGAGCGCGGCTGCCCTCAGGCGAGGGACTGGCCGGAGCGGGGCAGGCGGGAGGAGAAGGGAGCGGCGCCGGCGTGTGTCTGGGTCGGCTCCTTGGTTACCGGAGCAGCCGCTCCGCTCCCTCGGCCACCGCGCTCGCCTCGCCCAGCTGCCTCCCTAGCGACAGTGCAGCCCGCGGGGTCGGTGCTGCTCCCCCAGCGCCGCTGGCTGCGCGGGGGCGGGCTGGCTCTTCAGCTGCCGCTCGCACATACGGGACCAAAGCCCGCAGCCTCCCTGCTCCGCGCCGGGCTCCCCCGCTGCCAGCGCCTTGCTGCTGCTGCTACCGCGACACACAGTAACACGCTTCCCCCGCTGGCTGAAGTTTCCTGATGAGCTGAGGGAAACTGACTCTTATCAGCCACGGTTAATATCCAGGCGAGGTGGGGGCTGTACAAACAATCCTCACACCCCTCGTTTGCATACTGATTGAAAAGGAACAGATCAAACTTCTGCTGGGGGGAGAGAGGCTAGTAAATGATTTGTTTGGCACATGCGCTATGGGGGGGTGTTGGGTGTATCCAATTCTTCCCCTTCCTTCCTCGTTTTATTCTGCCTCAAATTATTTTCTTCGTAATTATGAAGTTCCCAGCTGTCTATGTGCTGAGGGCACTGTTCATGCTAATAAAACAGTTTAAAATATATATAGATCTTCCCTGCTACCAGTTACCTGAACCCCAGTAACCAAGGGCCCTCATCCAAATGCCATTAACGTCAACATAAAATTCACCTGGTTTTAGAGGAAGCTGGGATTAGGGTCTAAACCAAGAAAACAGAACTTATTCTTTCTGAACCTCTTCACCTTATCTGAAAGCAGAGTCATAACCATCCTTCTTCCCTTCAAAAAATAATATTTTAACAAAACACAGTTTTCAAGATTTAAGCATTCCCTGTTTTTATTCATCAGCAAGAATTAGTTCTGCTCTGTCAGAATTCACCGTCTAATTTTGAACCATTTTAACAACAAACGTTCTCTTTTTATTTTAAATTCTCTTACAAGAAAAAAACAAAGAGCTATGAAGTGTGTGCCCAGTTATGCTGAACATTCAGCATATCTGCTGAATCAGGTTTTCTAGTCCATTGCACCACCATGTCAGGCAAGGCTCAAATTTCCAACAAATTCAAGAGCAAAAGATGATCCTGATTCAAATTTGCTTTGAGAGGAAGGTGAATTTTGAATAATGAGTTCTGGTCCCACATTTATTGACTACTGTTTATATTGCTGTTCACTTCAAAGACTTGTCCCTTGCTGTAGAAGAAGGTCGGGTATCAGCACCTTTTATGAATACATCTTATACTGCACCCTTTTTGCATTAGTGCAGCAGTGGGCGTGATGGCCCCTGTGTACCTGTGAGTTCAGAGAGACGTGCAGTGTTCTTTGCTGAGGCACAATCGTTTTCACCACTGATATCCAAAACCAGCAACACACAGATTTTATTTTCTAAAATAGCCACCAGTGGTACAGGGTCTTTCTACATTAGGATTCTGAGATTTTTAGTTCTTGTTGGCAGTCAAGCCTTCTATGTTCATATCAGCCCATATTTTGGGGGGGAAGTGTGGTCCAATTAGAATGCATGGCATTGCTAGAATAATTTGGCCCTAAAACTATTCTAACTAGCCCAGTGAGGATGAAGACCAGTGGTGCAGAATCAACATAGAGGCTTTTACTCCACCTCAGTGTAAGAGAAAAAAGGGGCATGGATGTACTTTTATAGCATCTTGTGGCCAATACAGCTGGCATAAATTACAGCAGTTCTTAGGCTGCTCTAACAGCGCACAGAGACCTGATTGCTGATCCTATTGATGCTTTGTGCAAAGTACTGCTGCTCCATAAAGGTCAGAAGAGAGGAGTGTAAGAAAGTGCTCTGGCAACAATTCAAATAAAACAACAGCTGTAATAAAGATTTTAAAATAGGCTAACCCATCTAAACTATGGTTGCACACCCCTCCAGAATTGCACCCCAAGATCTAGACCTCAGTTTTATACATCTTTTTGTTTTCTTATGTCTCTTGCTATTTTGTCTCTTATTTCTCTCTCCTCCACCATTAATTCACTCTCAGCTGTAAACTAGTCTTCAGACTTTCTAGTTTAGTATCCACCATAAAGAGCCCAATTGACAGAGCTATTGTAACAAAACCAGGAGGGGTCATCACCAAGGACAGAGCCCAGGGCCTACAGCACCAAAAGCACAACTACTATCTTTGTTAACTAAAGCATCCTATGATCTCATGGAACAACTTTCTTAGCTGTAAGTAGCAGATTCATAGCCTCTATGTGGACCAAACACTACAGGGAGACATAATCACAGATATTTCCTTACCAAGAGCCTGAAAGTTACTATCCAGAGTGGACCGCATGTTACTATTTTCTGGCTGAAAGTTTCTCACAGCGCTCTAATGGAAAGCTTGCCTGCTGCTGAAGTGTAGGAGTACAGGTATTTCCTGCAGAGTGTGGGCTCAGTGGCATGATAGAGTGGGAACAAGAAGCTTCAGTGTTAGCACATTTTTTCACTTTATCCCACAGAGCTCAAACAATACAGTCATCAGCTATTTGGTATAAGCAACATTAAGATCTCTAAAAATAAGTCACTGCAATTTGTAAATAAGCACAGAGCTTTGGCTGTGTGTGTCTGTCTCAGGTGGCTGTTAGGGAAACATTTTAAAAAAGTAAATTTTAAACAAGCTTTTAAAAAACTAAGGACCCTAAAATAGCTCCTTTTAAAATTGATTGTCAATTAATTTTAATGAAGCATTATAGATTTTAGAATATGTATCATTTATATTCTAGCATTTTGTTTTGTATACTAGGCTTTGGAATTGTATACTAGGCTACTTTTCAACAAAACAATATAATAGTCTTTCATTTAGTGCTGTTTTAGATATCTAACAGCAATTTTAAAAAAGCTTATGTTTCTTCATATATAAACAGTACATTTTTAGTGGGAATGAGATTTGTTATTGGAAGATTATACAGGCTGTGTTTCCTATGTAATAGTCTTCACTGATCTCTAAGAACAAAATGGTTACAGGAATCCTCACTCAGGGAAGTAGAGAGGTGTAGTACACAGAAAGCGAAAGGTATCACTGTTTCCACAAAAAGTAAATAGTGGAAAACAGAAGAAAAAGCTGGGAAGCAGACAGAAAAAGCAGAGGTTGTCTCATAACCCCATGACCCTACTCTATTTTATTCAGGTTCTTATACCATGCTCCTCACCTCAGAGCACTCACCAGTAGTGCATTAAGTGATGTGTCTAACATCTGTCACGCACTGTGTGTGTGTACTCATCCTCTCCCTGGGGGAATAAGTGTGTGTAATAGAGTGTCTCCTTTCAATAGGGTGTTTTTTGTTTTGACCCATTTGGTTGCAGGGACTTCCCTGCACAATTCCAGCTACCATAATAATATTCTATATAATTTCAATGACGTGGTGCCTATCTTTCAGTAATAAGTCATTCACTGCATTTCCAACACTAAGGGCCCAATTTTAAAAGGTGCTGAACACTTGCCATTCCTATCAATTTTAGTTGGAGTTGTAGGGGCCAGCTTCTCTGAAAATCAGGCCCTAGATGTAAAAAAACAAGTATTCTGCAGAATGAGTGGAACAGGCATTGCTTAGCAGAAAAGGAAAATGATGACTCGGCTGTCTGTAAAGACACCCTGTGGGTCACAAATACCAACAATTTCCTTCTCAGCTAAAAGTTGATCCATATGCTCTGCATGAAGCTTGTTTCCAGATGGCATTTTGAGTGTGAGAGAGACTTCATTACATAAAAGGGAAATATGGAAATATGGAAATACATATATCACAGAGATACACATAGCTTTGAGGCTCCCAATAAGTACTGTATGCTGCAGTTATCAAAAATTGTAACCAGAAATCCCTTACTTTATAAAACATCTATAAAGCAATTAGAAAACAAAAACATTACTAGAGGGCACATTAAAAAAAACCCAATATTATCAGATTTTTTAAATTTTTTCCAGCTCCTAAATTAGGGTTCACTTTGTCAGGTCACATTTTTTTTCTTTAATATGAAATAATGTTACACAGGAGGATACTCTATAAGCTTATAAAGAACCAATGATACATAATATTTGCTACAAAAAACAAACAAACTAAAACCACCTTCTTCATAAGAATCCAGAGGAAGAGGGAAAAAGCATTTTATTACTACTTCTATTTTCTACCTTTTACTTCTCTACTTTTATGGTTTGTTTCTGTAGAGTTGGATTTTTTATGCAAAGTCAGTTTCTATATCAAGAAGAGGTGAGAAAGCCATCAGGCAATGGTCAACTACAATGGCTTTAACTGTGCATGTTGCTTTTGCTTTCAAAAATGTAACTTAAATGCTTTTAAAGAAAACCTCCCAGTGATTTAGATAGATTTTTATTCCCCGTTCCTTTCTGAGTTATCTTAATCAAAATAGATTCCATCTCTAAACACCTATATCTTATGTAAATGGTACCCTTCCTCATCCCTAAACCATGCCCTCGCAAGTTTACGACCTTTTTTCCCCCATGATGTTTAAACTAATGGTGGTCTAGCAGTTCTTGACCTAGAATGTTGTCATCTAGTTTCTTATTTAGTATTCTGCTAAACCAGGGGTGGGCAAACTTTTTGGCGCGAGGGCCACATCTGGGTGGGAAAATTATATGCAGGGCCATGAATGTAGGGCTGGGGGTTGCGTGCAGGAGGGAGTGCAGGGTGTGGGAGGGGGTGCGGTGTGCAGGAAGGGGCTCAGGGTGCAGGAGGGGTTCAGAGTAGATATGAAGGACTCCTTTAACTTCAGTGAAGTCCCACCTGCTTACATCAAGGCTGAATTTGGTTCTTTATATCTTTTGATCTACATTTATAACTTAATTTGCATATTGTGACTGAAACCTCACGCTGATCACTAATGCTCGGATTCTGTTGTGATACATATCCTATTACCTTTAGAACAAGAACCCTTGGGAATCTCATGACTTTTATATCTTCTGGGACCCATGCAACTAGGACAAGAATGAAGCCCTAAGAAACTGTGGATTCAGAAACCAATAATGTGCTTTCAGTGGGATGAGTAGCTAGGCCTCTGGGAGAGAATGTCCTGCTTCCTCTTATGCTGGGATGCAAATTACACAATTTTCCTTCTTCTTCATATTCACCTTACTCCTTGCAATGACTGGCTTGGGAATAATTTTTTCTAGTTCTTTTCAGCAAACAGTTTTTCTGCACTGGGAAATTCACCTAATCATAAACTTTGCCAGGTAGATAAAGTTAAAGTCATATTACCAATCCAGCCATTAGAATGTAATAATGTTTAATTCTTTTGTTTAAAATAGTTTTTCATGCACTTGATTTAATTCAGTATAGGTTAGGCCATTTCAGGTTAGTTATAGGAGGAAATGCATGATCTTCCCTCCCACAGGGAACATTTCCTGTTGATGGAAAGCAATATGTGAGAGCTAGGTATTAATTATTATTATTAAGTATATTAA